CCCGTAGACCAAGGCGGAGTAGATAAATAGAAGGAAAAGAAACTAGCGCAACATGTCTGCAGCATCACGCGAACCACCGGGTGCAAGAATCTTCTCTCGATACTCCCTACAGACGGTGGGACTTAGGCAACCCCTATCAGGAGCATTACGAAAGCGGGATTCGAAGAGGTCAGCGCTAAACACCTCGCTCCACTGTAAGATAAAATTTTAAAAATAATGAAGACTGGGATAACGAATGCAGATATATTTGTATACGAAACAGTGAATTGTTGGAAACCAAAAAGAAATAACTTGAGTAATAGAGGGCATCATAATTTTCGCTTAAACTAGGCTTGAAATGTTTATACATAAAATATCCTTGTTTCGCTTAATAAAGTGGTGGAATAGGCCAGCGAAATAGTTTTGCCAAAAAACTTGTTATTTAGCTGGACAATTCAAATACGCACTTTGTTTGGTAGGTTTAGGCTTCTTATCCCTAGATTATAATCAGATCTCCATATTTTATCAGAATGTTAGAAAAAATCATGTAATTAACACTCTTAAAATCCATGTGTCAAAGGCGTTATTTGAATTTTTCGCCCATAAAACTCAGCAAGTCAAAAATAGCAAGGCAAATGCAAATTAGAAAGGCTGCATTACAAAAATGGCCCCTGCTGTGATAAAATACAAATCGAAACCTAGGCTAAATTTATTTACGAAAACCTATCTAATTAGGAAAATACGATTCATATGTCAAGGGGCTTGACAGCTTATTTCATTTTACGAAATGATGAGTTCTATTTAAGGCGACGGTCTTGAAGCTTTCAGTCATCAGATTCAGCTATCGTCTGAGGCAATCAAAATTACAAGATCTTAAGTGAAATTAATTTTCAAAAGTCATTTTATAAGCACTATTCGTATTTTAGCTTACCAGATAGCCGTAGTATTGAGCATCGTAACCATTAGATATATGAGTAAATGTAGCAGGCATGTTGGTGCCCGAGGTTGGTTCTATACCCGTGTGCTTTATGCTTAATTCCTTAAACAAATCGACAACATTCACCTGAAAAAAAGATATAAAATAGATGTAAAATTAAAGTAAAGGAGACATCTATACGACACAAAGTAATGTAGACTGTTCAATTAATAATATTATAACCAAAAGAACTTATTGTATTAGACGACCCTTTAACTGAGCCATGTAGTTATTTTGTATAATTGAGGTCAAACGAGAGTGCAAATCTAGGCTAAGCCATTGTGTTTATAATCTATAGGTATTATAGTATTAAAAGTAAAATATGTAGAGCTAATTACTAAAATCGGCACATACATGATTAACTTCTTGTCTAATTTTTCACTCATAAAAATCTCCGCGTGATGACTTAATGAGAAGTTTATATTTTGATTACCCCTGCTTACAGAAGAGTTAGGATGCATCGAACCCGTTCCGCAACTTAAAAGCTTATCGAATAACTTGACGAATTCTTTAGTGAGTTGTTTCTGTCTTAATAATTCCCCTAATTTGGTTTTAAATAAATCGCTTTATCTTATGCCTCACTCAATGCTTCTGAATGGGAGTAATTCTTTATTTGTTTTCGCCATACCCTATACATTTAGGGTTCTGGGACCTGCTTGAATGAGTATGTTTATCGTTGACTTATCCAGCTATCAGCGTTTTACACAGAGTTGCGGGCAGCCATTCAGTCTAGACTTAGGATTTTCTGTAATTTCTTTACTAATAATCTTGTATGTTTCCACATCATCTGATGGCCGCATCATATTTTGTATACATCTAACTCTATACATAACGAAATCTGCTCCTCCTTTATCTGTCCTTAACACAATTTATTTTTTGTCTCTTAGGTTCCTCATAATATTATTACTCACCTATTCATAAGCAGTACCTCAGGGTGCTGCGCAACTAGTATATTAATTTGATCTATGTAGTGTGCTATAAAAACTTTCGGCACGTCAGACCGCGGACTTGGTTAAAATTAATTCAACTATACCAGCATACTCCATAGATAGAAATAAAAAGACAGAGACCTC